CCCCACCCCCCTCGAAAATAAAAATTCCAAAGGAAACATTGTACTTTGAATAGGTGTTCTTTAACGCACAAATACAGATTACAATGGTTTTTAAGTGATTGTAAAGTTGTATGCTTAGAGTAACTCAAATGTGGTTGGAATAGGTATATTGTTTTCTTCAAGTAAAACATATGACGCCCCCATGGTTAAATTTTGTTTGTTCAAAGTTTCGTTGAAATTGGTGCATATATCCCCAGGTTACAGATCTACAAATAGGCCCACTTTTTCAGACACCCTCTATTTAAAATCGGCCCAAGGTAATTCACTACTCTTTTCATGCTCCATAGATCATCTGTGCTGATAAGGCAAAATCGTATATTATTTGTTAATAGGTCTGGGAATATTGTATCACTGTTAGAGTTTGAATTTAGCTGGAAAAAAAACAAAAGAAAGAAAAAGAAAACGACAACATCAGAGGGGATCATGTATATGAATTCCGTGAAAACTTTAAATAATAAAAGTGCACGTTCTTTACAGCGACAAGAATGTTGCAGTAACCTTACATTGAGTAACATTGCTGGATGATTAACAATGGCACGCTTGCTTGTAATTGGAAACATTTTTCTTGTAATGTAATTTGGATGAAAAGAAGAATAAATCATTGAGCTCATTCGTGAGGAAATACATTCGCCATTACTGTTTATTTATTAAGGTTTTTAAAATTGACAACATAAAAATAAGACCATGGTAAGTGACAAATAAAATCACGCTTTTTCACCTTTCTTTAGCTTATCATTATTTTTATGACTGACTCTAAATTACCCGCTGGTGCAAATTGGAATTCCTTGCAACAAAGGGTCATTTCTGGATAGTAATAGCAGCCTCGGTGACCTTCATAATATTTTTAAAATATATGTTTATATGATGTTTGGGCGCAAATCTTGCTCACATCATATAAACATATAAATAGAATTAGGCACAGTATGTGAATGTGAGATTAATGGATTTTATTCATAAAAGAGAAAAATCAATGTTCAAACTGCATGAGCAAAACATGTGAAAGTGTGCAATCTGATAGGATCGTGTAAATGCTTCAATGTGTGAATAGTCTAACTATCCATCTAAATATCCATCTATCTACCTATCCATCTATCTACCTATCTATCTATCTATCTATCTATCTATCTATCTATCTATCTATCTATCTATCTATCCATCCATCCATCCATCCACCCATCCATCCATCCATCCATCGATCCATCCATCCATCCATCAATCCATCCATCCATCCATCCATCCATCCATCCATTCATCCTTCCATTCATCCATCTATCTATCTATCCATCAATCCATCCATCCATCCATCCATCTATCTATCTATATGTCTGTCTGTCTGCCTGTCTGTCTGCCTGTCTGTCTGTCTGTCTGTCTGTCTGTCTGTCTGTCTGTCTGTCTGTCTGTCTGTCTGTCTGTCTGTCTGTCTCGTATCTATCTTTCTATCTATTTGTCTATCTTTCTCTCTATTACGCAGGAAAACCAGAAAAGAAAACGGAGGAGGCGGGAAGACACAGAGACAGAGTGGCAGACAGATAGATAAACAGACAGACAAATAGAAAACGTGGCAGACAGACAAGCTTATAGATACACATGGAGAGAGACGGGGGGGGGGGGGGGGGGAGAGAGAGAGAAAAAGATAGAAGTTGAAAGAACGTGCGCCCAGATCGACCCGAAGGGAGGCAAAATTAAAAATAGCAACCAAAAAAAAATAATTTATGCACTTTTATGGAGCCCGACGAGTTCGAGATCTAAAATCAATTTCGTAAAATTTTGAAACGGAAAGTCTCTCCATTTCAATGTCAGCGTAAGCTAATAGATATTCGAGATACAATAGAAAACTACTTGCTTTAATTAGACGTGAGAGTAATATAAACCAAATATTGCACTTTAGGATCAAATTGAATTAATATCCTAATCCGTTTTCCTTAATCAGAGGCATAATAAATTTGAGAAAGCTGCATGTTTTACGAAAACTCCATTACAACAGCTTAAATTACAAGTGGTTTAGAAGAGTATATTATTTTATTGTCTGTGAAAATCTTGACTTGAAAAAGCTTGAAAATTTAGCGCAAAACAAAAGAACATAATATGTTTTTAACATGAATAATGAGTCGAAGACGAAAACGATGTCGACGAAAGGCCAATTAATGTTATACATTTCATGAAGTGAGAAGACTGATAAAAATGCCAGTGAGGTTTAGGTGAACAAAAATGTTAAAGTCAAAAGTTATTACATAAAGACCTAAGTCTTGTTATTCCGTGAATTTTCAAGAGCTCGGCTAGACTCGAAAAAGGTAATTACTGCAAGGTTTCCGTGTCCTACTTTCTGTTAAGCCAGATTAATGAAGGATCGGTTTGTAAAGGAGCTGGTAAATGATTTAACTGTAAATATTCGATGTCCACATCAATACAATATAGATCATGTAGAAACCAGGCCGTTGTGAATCTGCCTATCACAGACAACCCGAGCTTAGTGGAGAACAACACGCCAGCAGAAAGGCAAATGTAATCGATAAACCAAACGTCCTTACCCGGGACTCGGGACTCTTTTGCGTGCGATGACCAAGATCCTAAACTATAATACCACAGACACTGGAAAACGGAGATAGATAAATAGAGAGAGAGGGGGGGGGGACTCAACAGACACAGCAGTCTCATTGATTACCAAGAAAAGATGCCATCCTTCTACCAAATGCAAGTGGTATCACATCAGCAAAACGGTAACAACAAACGTCTCGTATCATCCAGCTCGACCAGATTGAGCCTCCTGAAACAATTTCCCAATATCAACCCTCGTGGCTCGTCAGCTCACCCCAGTTTGCCATCTTGGTCCCTTGGGGCACATGCAGCGCCCTCACCATCTATCAACGTGTACATGGTTGCTGAATATAATATCTCTGCATCCCCCAACAGCTGTTGTGGGTTTTTTCTGCTGTAGTCTCTGATGGTTACAAATCATGTTTTGCACGCTCACTGACACGATTAAGCTTATTTACTTTATCTACTTATTTATTTTATCTACCCAGAGATCTCAGCAGAAAGACTAAGATACTAATATGGGGAATCAAACTAACACTTTCCACGTGCTATAACACCAGGGCCTAACTATATCTTAGCCACAGACCGCGATTAAGCAGCAATGCAGCAGCCGACAAGTAAACTTAAAGAGTCCTGATGGAGAGCAACTTGGGTTCCGCTCTCGAAATGAGTTACACTGCGGATAGTTTCCACCTAAAACTGATGAACGTCAGATTCATGATCCGTACAGCTTTGTTTGTTGTATAATGTTGAAGACATGGGAGAGGTAGGGGAGGGAGGTGGACGACAGGGAGTTAATGTTTATTTCTTTCGTGGCGGAACTTTAGGACTGGGATGTTCGAGATTGGGCAATTCTACTTTTTTTTCTAAATGTGATGGTCTTATACAGGAAAATCTAAATTGACAACCAAAAGTCTAGGAACAACGTTTAGCACTTTTTTGGATCGTACTGTAGAAAAATAACGTATCACGCAATTTGGCCAGGTTTCTTGCAAATTGTCAGGTTGATCTTTACGGTGTTCTTGGTCCGAAAGAGAGAGAGAGAGAGAGAGAGAGAGAGAGAGAGAGAGAGAGAGAGAGAGAGAGAGAGAGAGAGAGGGAGAGAGAGAGAGAGGAAGAGAGGGGGAGAGAGAGAGGAGAGAGACAGGGAAAGAGACTGAGAGAAAGAGGGAGAAGGAGACAGCGAAAGAGATACAGGGTCAGATAGAGACAGAGGCAGACACAGAGAGAAGGGGGAGGGGGGGGGGGGTAGTGAGAGTGAGTCTTTAAACTTGAAAAAAACCCTGATGTAAATCAGAGATTGTAATTTTTTAGGAAACGTAGATCATTCAATCCTATATTCCTCAACAGAAGCTTTGATGTGGTACATCTTGCTCTTGTAGCAATTTGGGATTATACCACATAATAAAAAGTAAGTAAATTTATCGGAAAAGCATCAGAAAGAATAAGAATATTTGTGGAGACATAAATATCTTTGAATCTTTAAAAAAGCGGAAATAATACTAAATGACCATTGCCATCCATTGACAACGAAATCCCAATTATTAACCGGTAAAAAAATTACTTCTATCCAAATTTTTTATCAAACAAGTAAACAACCAAGACTCTTTCTTCGAGATTAATAAAGATTGACCTGGCATTCCTGGACAAGGAGGTAATAATTTGGTATTATAATATATAACCTCTTTGTTCCCTGGAGAAGAAAGTCACTACACGTGTCAACGTGTACGATTTTTCTCCTGGCCGCCATCTCATCAGCTTTTGAGCTGAGCTTTGCCTCTATATACACGCACCAGAGTTGTGCTGTTTCGCAAAAGCCGTGACATGTATTAGCATGTCCAAGATTTTTTCCTCCACAGCTGTTGCATTCAGGCACACCCACAAAGGAGGGCCCAACGCCGAGGCTATAATGCGCCAGGGACCCACCACAAAGCCTGTAGTTTTCTCCTCAAAGAAGACTCAATCTCTAGGTAATTGTTGGGGCTGCAATAGAAGTCAAACAGCTGTTTTCACCTCTATCTTTTGTTTGGAAGCCAATAGCGTTCACGGCTTCAAATTTTTTTTACAAATCAACGGGAAAGGTCTGATTTTCATGTTTGCAAAATCGTTTTCAATGAGGATGGATTATCAATAAGACTTGGGGTTTTTAGCTCAGTTTTGGATCCTTTACTGTGCATATCTGTAGGTAGGCAATAACTCATTTCCTTTTTGTGAAGTTTGTACAGAAATGTACGTACAATAATACATGTTTTGCCAGCGATGCTGATTAAAACAATTTCTTTCCTTTTTCAAACAGAATAAAGTTTGTTCGCATTCACTGTTCGCAAGATATATCTCAGTTTATTGGTACAGGGAGTAGAAGCGTGACACATCTTGAACTAGAAAAATTAATTACATCTCTCTGGACAATAAACATCCCGTGTTCCTTCAAATAAAAATATCAGTCAGAAGTAAAAGACCTAGCCTTCTGATCTGTAACAAAGAAAGATACAGAAGGCCATTCTTACCATCATCCATCAAACTTCTTCCATATTAATCATCTTGTTATAAGTATTCATATGACCTTAGAGCATGCCTCAGAAAACCATTGAGTTACAATCTGAATACTGCGTATGTATCTAGCTTAATATTATTATTGTTAATATTACTGTTCATTTGCATTATGCATATGACTGTAAACCTGTTTGTGAGTGCAAGTATACTGCGTATGTGCGCATGTTTGTGTGTGCGTGTGTGTTTGTGTGTGTGTGTGTGTGTATGTGTGTGTGTGTGTGTGAGAGAGAGAGAGAGAGTGTGTGTGTGCTTGTGCGTATGAGTGCATGTGTGTGTATGTGTGTACGTGGTGAAACACCAAACCAATATTCCAGGATCTGGACTATAAAGGTGTATCTTATCTTATTTTATCTTAAAGATCTTTGATGTAGATTTTTTTTTATAGTAGTGATACACTTTTTCCCATTTTTCCACATGACGAACGGATTCGTAAAAACCCTTGGAATATCAACCCAGACTAATGAATTGTCAATAGTGATGAAAGGACTGGACATGGTGAGTCAGATAGATTCAAAAAGTCACAGATAGACCAATTGAGCAGTAAACGGTTCAACTCATATAAATATTGAACTGTACACACGAAAATATTTTATACGTGTACTTCAGCGAATAGTCTTTGCCCTTTCTTTATTCAACCCCCGACTTCGTTACACTTACTCCTGAGCCTAGTGTTTCACCATTGAAGTGATCTGTTGATGTGAAATAGAAGGTAAACCTTCTCAAAGAGAAGACATGATGTATTCGGTGCCCATGATAATCTTATCAAAGGAAATCTCCTTCTCTTACTTTCTTTCAAAACCTCATTGGCAGTGTAGAGATAATGATACGGTGAAACAAAACATAATGATTACTGGTGATTTAGGTGTTCTTTCATGGTATACTCGTAAATTCAAATGCAATAGTTTTAGTACTGGTTGTTTGCTACCGTTTCTGTTTCAGTGTTGACTGATTTATGAGAGCTTTTCAGCGAAAAAATAAAGACTAGCCTCTAAAAGAACGCCCCTACTCTTTTTTCTTTTTCTTTTTTTTTGGGGGGGGGGGATGGAGAGGGGCATCTGATTAATCCCTTTTCCCCTTTTCCCACCAACTAGAGGTGTGCACCATTTGTTGAATGTCCGTTTCGGAATAAGGGTGCTACTTTTCCTTTGTTTTATCTTCAATTTTACCTTTGTGACACTTGTGTCAAGTCTTCTTACATGCCCATCCGTTAACCCGGGATTGATCGCAGCTAAAATAGACCACAGAGCAAAGTCCATTAGTGTTTACTTTTAGTAAGTGTTTACAACGCTTGCAACTGCATAAGGTCTTATCACCGCGCAAGACACATTAAGCTTTTTCAGTTTGATAGGAATGAATTTTGAATTTTGCCCAGGAGGCGGCCAAAGCCTACTCTTAACGTGCGCAACTTGCACACGGAACCTTCGACATTTTTTTGCTCTTTTCCGAGAAGGCTAAATGTTCGATCTTACCAACCCTAACAGTAAGTAAGAGGCAGGAGTAGCAGTAGAAAGAGCCAGGAGTCCAGAGAAGAGGGGTTGCAGAAAATGGAGATAAAAAGCAGATGATAAAACATGCACCACAGAAGATTCAGCTGTGCCTTGGAGTAGGGTTCAAACTCAAGCAGAAACTGAACCTTTGAGACCGCAGGAGTAAATCTGTACTCGATTGCCTCTTTCTAGAATGATGATGGTTTATACGTGCCACCTGCTATGGGGAGTTTGTATTGTCAGTTTTTAAATATTGTAACTGTAGAAGACGTTTGATTATCGCTGCATTAGCAAATTTTTTATAATTTAGAATGCACTTTAATCGACACTTCCCATTTCGCTTGGTGCGATTGGAGATGGAAATTATATTTATTATTTGGAGATCACACCTCTTCTTACAATGTTTCAAAGGCCATTTAACTTATACAATTACAATTTACCCCTGCTTTTTTTTTTTGCCTCGCTCTTACCAGACATCTCCCAGTCCTGTTGTACTGCAAAAGCGGGGTCCAGCTCCATCAGAACGTGTAGCGTGTCCTCTGGGGGATTGGTGTAAAACGCTGCAATGTCCGGGCCGTTGAGGAACACCCTGTTGTTCCGCTTAGCTTCGAAGGTGCGATGATAAGCGTCCAGTTCTAACTTGGCTTCTTCCTCTTTGTAGAGGTCTTCATCCAGAATGTAAGGCTGGAGAAGTAGCCTGGTTTGCCTGAGAAGTAGATTGTCGTTAACTAGAGACTGAAATAAGGTATTGTATATTTCTTTATCCTGCGTTCCTCTAAGGGCAGGAATCAATTTGAGTCGAGCTTTACCTTATCCATCAGAATGCTGCCTCCTCAAAATGCGTCGGGGAACAGGGAAAGAACGCTAACGTGTGCGGTCTAAAATGAGTTAAACTGTACAAACAGTTGATACAGAATTTGTAAATGTGATCTACACACACACTTGAAAGAATTAAATATACTTTTATGTGCTGACCTTGATCTTTTTCACTGTGCCAGCCATTGTTACAATACCATAGAGTACAGGTTTTCGTATGCGCTCCGCCCTTCTTGTTAAAAAGGTTTGAATAGACCTGGGGCCGCATAGGGACGACTTTTCGATTTCTTCTTCCATACATTGACTTTACACCAAATTCCATTATTTATTAGCATAAATATGAAATAATACAGACCCTCACTTTCTTTCTCCTTTGAGAATTTGAAGTTTCTGTAGACAGCTTTTGAAATCTTTATAAATGCAAGAGGAACGTGTTCGTGTTAGAATAGCTTACATACTTGCTGCACACAAACAATTTGATTATGATATTATGATTATGAAAATTGAAGTTATGAACAAACGCTATTACGTTCTCCTGCTGTAGGCCTAACATATGGCAATTAATAGTCTGTATTATGGGAAGTATGTATTTAAATGTCCTTGAAAGAAATAGGTTTATTTTGTATTTGTGGTGCAGATGCACTATCACGTGAAAATCGGATGTCCGAACCGAGTGGGAAAAGAATACCATATCGTCCGTCCTGGAACATTATCCTCCTCTCCGTTTGGTATTGTGACGCATTGGTCTAGTAGACTGTCACACTATTTAAAATACAACAGACATGGGCAACAGTATGGAACACGATATTAGTATGATTTGTGTAAATGGTGAATTCAGAACTATGGCGACGTGCTGGCACCGTCAAAGCCAGCTGATATGATGCAGAATTTAGATGGAACAGGGACTTAATATTTTGCTATCTATCTATCTATCTATCTATCTATCTATCTATCTATCTATCTATCTATCTATCTGAAGATTTTGCTTTTGTACAACTGTGTATAGGTGTCAACAAGCAATTTTCCATAAGTTTGATTTATCAGTTATCTGTTATAAACTGGGTGTGAATTTGTTTTGGTCAATAAACTAGATACTGGATTCATTTAATGCTCATTCTGTCTATCTTTAAGATAGGGTTAAATTTGTTCAATGTTGACCGGAATCAATTAATTGATTCACACAGCTGCCCCCTGCAGAGCTGTTACACATTTCGCATAAAAGTCCCTTTGTTTAATTTACGACAAGTGATTATAGACATTTTCCCTAGCTTTGCACAGCTGTCTCGGTCGCAGGCTGGCAGGGCATGAATAGTATCTTAATGAGAACTACTGCGCTGACTCGCTTCAACCTTTGACCTAAATCTAGCTGAAAATTAGAACCACGCTGAGAATCAGATCGATGGAACGTAAATTATACGTCATCATCCCGTTGTTATCCCTAACCCGGAAATAGTTTCAATATAAATCAGTGACCTGTCTCAAGACAGAAATAGGTGAGCGGGTTTGGGCTTATTCGCTCACCCTGTCATTCACCCTTTCATTTATTTTTTGTGTTTTGCTTTCGTAAAGTGCAGCTACAAATCGATCGTAAAGGGCATCTACAGCTGTAAAGTTCAGCTGCAATCGAAAAGTGCAACTACAAACTGTATGGGGAATTTTGTTTCCAGATTGTTTGTAGTATAGGTGAACCCTGTTCCCTTTTTAGTAATCATCATTGTGTGCAGCTGGAAGTAGATCTAGATCTAGATCAAATACAGTCACATATTATCTTATACCCGAGAATCAGTGGACAGTGACTAGGATCTACTAATTCTTTTAAAGTTGGCGGGTGCTCTGGTGTGGTTTGCTCCTTCTTTCCTATCAAACATCTATCGTCTTTATCTCCCCTCCTTCTTTTTTGTGTTTGTTACTCTCTTGTAACGCCTCTAATCTTCGGCACTTATATGACCTTATTGTGTTGCAAGTGCCGTAAAACTCTTACGAAAACTAAAGATGGGTCGCGGAAGGGGGGGGGGGTGAGAAAACTATAATTGAATACCGGTTTAAATACGAGAATGTGATATTGAAATTAACGTACTAGATTCTAGATCCACTAATAGGAAAAAAAGAGAAAGGGAAAATCCAAGATGACATTCTGAACACGTAGGCTGCAGATCCTTGCTGTATAGGTGAACAGTCACGGGTCAGTTAAATTGTGCACGCCATCTCCATCCTATGCCGGGAAATGTGTTCATTTCAAAGAGAATTTTAGACAACTAAATTTCAATCGGTCTCAATGTGTCTGCTATCGTCTTCTCTTTATAAACAGGCTTATTATTATGTTTCTTTACAACCTCATTTGCTCTAGTGAAGGTTTTAAATGTACTTTAAAAAACGTTACTGATGCAGGAGGATAACTGTCATTCCTGGTAGTCTCCCCCTTTCCCCTCCCTCTTCCCTCTTTTCCCAAAATCTCCGCCTTCTGAAAGTCGTGTCAAAGTCAAGGTATTTATGTGAAATAACTAGCGACGTCAAGCGCAGTTCACAGCAGAATGTCATGAGGTATTTCCGTAAAGGACAACGTTTCACTTGGTTTCCTCACGATTTAATCACGCTCTTCACTAAACATTCCGTTACTTTTCAACGCACGAATGCCCAGAGCTCAATACGCTAAGCTGCTGTGTGCAGGATTTAAACGGTGTACGGTATCAAAACACAACAAAAGACGTATCTAATAACTTGTTTAGAATAAATGTCTCACCCGGTTTATTCCAAGGACATTCGCTTACGCTTAAAATAGGAATATAAAGCCAACAAAAACACCAAACAAACAAAAATTAATTTTAAAAGTATATATATATATATATATATATATATATATATATATATATATATATATATATATATATATATATATATATATATATATATACAGAGAGGGAGAGACAGAGAGACAGAGACACATATATAGATATACAGATATAACTATATATTATTTATTATATTATACATTGTATATGAAAATATATACATTATATATTTTCATTAATCTATACAGATAAAAATATATATATAATTTTTCACACAATATAATATACATATATATATATATATATATATATATATATATATATATATATATATATATATATATATATATAATATTGTGTGTATAAATCATATATCGATGCATGTCAATAAATTCGCACTCGGTTACGACAATTTTTTTCGCCCAGCAGATTGACACCGGGAGTCTGGGGCAAAAATCAGACAGACATAACATTCAACTCATAAACAGCATTCCAGGCTGTAAATTAAAAAGCAGATGTTTATAGTGCATGTCGATCTATTTGGTTTGGCCGGTAAAATAGAACGGTGTGTAGTCAAGAAATATAACAGTTATGATAACTTCTGATTCCATTTATAGAAGTAACAGATGAACTGAGGATGTAGCAGTAGCACGCAAATACACCGCTGAAATGGCAAAATAGTTTGTTTTTTTAAATATAAAATTAATGTACTAATTCACCAATTTCATGTTTATAACTGTGCCTGAACGGCAACGTGAAACTGCTGCTTTTTCTTTCTTAATCTTTACTATCTTCTTTTGTATGTTTGTTTGTCACGCTCTTGTGATCTGCTCTTTACGGATGCCTTGCCATTGATAGTCGAAGCAGACTTTGTGCTGTTGAAGCTAGAGAGGTGAGCAGAGTAAGCCCGATTCCCTGTAACGACATCTCTGTTGGCATCCCCACCTTGACGTTTATAGGACTTTATGCAGTAAAACCTCTACGAAATAAAAGAAGTCTAGTCGCTGTTGTCTTACTAAATCTGAAGCAAAATGAGAAGTGTTTCGGGTGAACCATAGCTTAGATCAGGCAATGGTGAAGCTACCCACAAAAACCGTCTGAAATGCACTTACAAAGCTGTCAAAACGGTTGCTGTAAAAAAAAAGATAAAACAACAACGACAAAAACATTGAAAAAGTGGCAGAATGCATATGTGTCACGACGCGGTAGAATAATTCGCCGTCAATTTCTGGACATGTGGAGTTATTAGTATTATTATAAAGCTTGTTTATTTGTCTTGCTTTCGCAGAAAAAATACTCATCTATCATGAATAGAAGTAGAGATATTTGCAATTGAAGGAGGTGGGGGTCGCCTGGTTTCAGGAGTAAAATTAGCGAGAATATGGCCGCCAAAGTTTCGCGACTTCCAAAGTTTGAGAGTCCGTAGAGACTGCACTATGGAGTGAAGCGCAATGAGGAGGCTGATAGACTGGCAGGAAGTGCCGTGGTTGATGGTGAGGCGAAATTTGACAAAGGAGAAGTGTTGAAAACCCTGGAGGAAAAGTTGCGGGATGAGGAAGACAGGGAGACAGCAGAACACCACGAAATCATTAGGATGTGGGAAATGGGGATAGAGAGGGGAGAAGGAAGAAAGGAACGATTACCTGGAAAGGAAAGACGTCGCCATAATCAGACAGCCACCTGAACAATCAGTTTGGATACCTTGCGGGCTTTGGTGCTGGGGCGGGGGGAGGGGGGGGGGGGACTGAGCACTTATGGACCTGCCCGGTGTGCAATGACGTTGTTGCCCAGGACAGGTAATACAGGTAATACGGAGACTGCAAATTTACATTGTTGTGCCTTAAATCAACATTTTACAGTATAATCGAAATAGAAATATGTTTTAAATGGACCTTAATTAATTAGAAAAAAAATTGCCCACCGGCCCAAAAAATGCAGATTTCTTGCACTTCATTATTTTGACGAGCGCCTGATTTCACTACGCTGTCTCACATAGACTTGGGCCACCCAATAAGAATGGAAGAGGGAACAAACACTGGGGTGAAAACAAGGATACACGCGGCTTGTGGTTGCTTTGAAAGAGACAGGGAAATATTTACAGTTCCAAATCTGTTGGTATCACTAAAGTGACAAGTTTTGAATCAGTGCCTTGACTCAGTAATAAGCCGTGGTTGTTAAACCTAGCAAATTACCAGGAATATCATAAAGACATTAGACCACTTTTTCAACACAAAGAGCAATGCTATGCTGGTATAAGAATGCGAAATAAAAAGAGCACATAAAAATACGAAGGGAAACAGGAGTGGCAGACATCTCCAAATGTATACTCCGACAAAAATAAAAATGGGATGGTCATATTGGTAGAACGAAGGATATCACACGGACAAAATGATGCACTGAATGGAGACCAAAAACTGGAAAACGATCGAGAGGAAGATCAGAAAGAAGCTGGCAAAATGACATCAGGGAGTTCTTGGTTACAACCTGATACGGAAAACATCCGATAAAACAGAGTGGAGGTCATTATTGGTGGGCCGCATCCTGCAGTGAACTGACAACGCCTTGAAAGAATGTATTTACTTTTAATTTACATGTGTGTGTGTGTGTGTGTGTGTGTCTTTGTGTGTGTGTGTGTGTGTGTGTGTGTGTGTGTATGTGTGTGTATGTGTGTGTGTGTGTGTGTGTGTGTGTGTGTGTGTGTGCACGCGCCCCCGTGTGTGTGTGTGGGGGGGGGGAGGGAGTATGTGTGTATGTATGTGTCTGTGAGTGTGTGGTTAAGCAGGGGACTGTTCCCGATACTAAAAGCAAGGTAACACTGACTGATTAGGTTTTTCTTCTGGTTTCAAGCCATCCAGTATGCTGACTGCGGGCAGGGAGGTAACCAGTTATCAGAGAAACAATTTGTATTATCCAGGCCGGTACCATATTCTTTGTCAGTGGAACGTGGAACTCTTTAAAAGGGAAAACGCTTATAACACGTTTTGTGACTTTTGTAAATCTATTGCGGTGTCAACCGAAAACTGCAGGATTTTAAACATGAGTCATTCATACAATCTTCAAGTGTTCAATAACACTGTAGTCTGGTGAGCACACAGTTTTTAACATTGTCTATGCCGAAAAATTGTCACCTGCCTCCTTTTAATAAGATGTGAGTACCTCGTCTTGGTTAGTGCTCACTTTGCCTGTGGGCAGTGGGTTGAGAACTTGACAGACAAGAGGCAGATTAAGATTTGAATCTGAATTTGGTCCCAAGTCCTCCCTGCACTCCCGAGAAATGTTATTTCTTTTCCTGTCGTGCATGAGTCCTGGAGACAGAACAAGCGCTCTATCTTGATTTCGAAACGACTTATGCTGTGCGCAGTAAGGTTTTAAAAATTTAAAACAATATTAAGTACTCACTTGATCAAAGGACGCAGATTCCAGTGTAACGCATTCCCCATTGAGTCGCCTGTGATAAGGTGTTGGAAGTGTCCACGGTCAGTCAAAAAGATCAATGTGTTGATAGATTTTTGGCCAGTGGTTATGTCCACTAACTGTTGACCGGTGGGAACATGAATGACATACGCATGCCCTAACCGAGTTCCGCAGATGAGGAAATGGTCGTCCTCGGATGTTAACATGGAGATAATCGTATCCGTTTCAGCTATCATTCTCGCAGAGCCGCCTGTTCTTGGAGACATTCTAGATTGCCGCGCTGCCGTGTGTGACGTATAAACACGAGGTTTAGGCTTTGGTTTGAGTTTGGTGTTCATGGCCTCTGTTCCAGAATAGAGTATGTGACAGGTGATGGCGCAGTTTGCGTAGGCAAGGAAAAGGTGTTCGTGACTTCGCGAGAACTCTGCCATCACAATAGGCAAGCCGTTTAAAGAAAAGGTTTCATGCACTTTAAACATGGAGGCTTCCACCACCAAAGCCTGTCTCTCGGTCACGTGAACAATGTACTTTCCATCCTTTGTAGACTTCAAGATACAACAATGTTTGTTTGGGATTTCGTTCCGCAGAGTAAGTTCTTTGAACGCAGACACGTTTTTCACTGGAGCATAATCGATTGTCGTTTTCTTATCAACATTGACAGTGATCACCCTCTCCGGTTTGCTAGTAGATATACACGCTGCAGTGAATGATTGCTGCCAGCTGATAATGTTAGTAATGACTCCTCGATTTAAATCAAGGCTCTTAATAGCGGTATCGTTGGCGAAGAAAGAAGTGTTCGGGGTTCGAATATCAAGCCACAGAAGAGGACGATCTCCAAGGGAAATCGACTTTAGATGTCTTCCTTTTTCAAGACTGAATACCTCAAGCTGAAGTGTGGATGTTTCTTTTCTCACTAAGACACAGACGTTTTCGTCACCGCATATGTGGAAGCTGATGATGTCATCCGTGAGAGTGGCCAGGGGCATTTCCTCACAGGTTAGTACGTTATGCCGAAGTAGAGACTTGTCTCTCTGCACCAACAGAGTACCTGTGTCTCCCACAGACGTGAGAGCTTTCACGCCGAAGATGCCGTTCTCCTTGACCAGAAGCCTGGAGGTTTTGTCAGAAGTGTACGACACAGGGACCAAAGCCTGGAGATGTACCTGCTTCAACCAGACTCTGGCTTCTTCTACCACAGATTTGACGCTGTCCTTCATGTTGTGAAGGTCATCGACCTTCTGGCTGGAGAACACAGCAGCCAACGACGTCGGGTTGTGTATGACGGTGTGCCGAACAGAGAGAAGGAGCTGTCGCAGGTACTGAATATCTGGGTCAAGACTTACCACATCCAGGGCGAACGTGATGTCATCCAACAGATCATTGAAGAACCCTGAATACACCGCGTTGACCAACCAGGCAAAATTGAAGAATACCTTCTCTTTCAGAGCTGACCATACCTCTGCTGTACTAGATGAGATAAAGCAGAGATGGAAAGGGACACAGCGAAGTGTGCGCCAGTGGTACTTAGATAAACGCTGATGCTTCTGCTCTGAGATATCACGGGAGCTCAGCAAAAGGCCTCTTCTAATGAACTGGAAGAAGTTTGCCAAACGAAGGTGGACACTTTGGGAGAACCTTTCGCTCATGTACCTTGACTTGATGCAATCTATCAAAGGCTGACACATGACTCTATACACGCTTTCGCCTTCTATCTTAACCTCCACAAGAAATTTCCCTAGCCTTGAGACCAGTTTAGACAATTGCAGCTGATATGGAAACCCCTCCACAACGCTCATCTCGTCACCGTTCTCTTCCTTGATTTCATTAAGAATGTCTGCGTCTGTAGAGAGAAGATGGAGGAGTTCGTAGGCGGCCAGGCCATGTCTTGCTGTGGCGAGAAATGACAGGGCGTGGCGGGAAAAGGCTTTTCCCAGGTCACCCTCGATGGATGCCAATAACGCCTTACAATCTGACTGTGGGTCGTTTTTGAATTTTTCAAATTCAGGGAGGGAATGGGAGGGCCACAGTTTGAGCAAATGTAAGAGAAGCTGGGCGTAGACTGGAATTGGGTCTCTGGGAAGAGTTTTCAAAGCTTGATGAAGTTGGTCAGTTGTCACGATACGTTTAGAAGCATGTAGATTACTTGTCACACACTCTGTGATTTCTACTTTGTTCATGTAAAGTAACTTCACGTTCTTCACCGATGGATGAGACTTGAGTACATTCAAAAGTTCATGTGGACTTTGCAGTGTAAGAACAAGGCTAATCCCTTCTCCAAGAGAGTTTAAAATGCAAAGAAGGAAATGAACCTCCAGATCTGGCAATCGGTCGATTTGATCCAGCACCAACAATAAATCACCGCACAGTGTACGCTTTTCACTGATCGACTTCAGCGTAGAACAGAACAAAGACACAGCTTCCTGTGATGTAAGATCCACGGGTAATTCTAATGCCAGAGAATACACAAAGCTCAGCTGCTTGGTCAGACTCTCCAGGACACGGAAGAGGCTGGAAGACCGCAGGGTCATACCAAGACATCTAAACACAACCTTCCTCCTGGGCTCCCACATGACGGCGGACCTAGCTATCTGTGCGGCTAAGGAAGTCTTCCCTGTGCCACTTTTACCACACAAGAGCACGATCTTTGAATCTGATTTGCTTAAATCTAGCAAAGATTTGACTTGTTCAAGAGTTGCGTCGTTTCCTTTGCAGTTATCAGACTCGCTGTGAGCAATCCGCACGTGCTGGATAGCCTCAGATCCCTCTGTGAGCTGCTGGGCCACGTCATACTCTCGTTGTCTCATCTGGGCTTTGAGCAGGGAGGCTACTCCTGCGATAAAGGTATCGGCTAGTGACCTGCAGAAGGACAGAAAGTGTAATTAGTTAAACTTAGGAGTGAGGTTTCTGACAAAACTTTGAAACCCCTCTTCAGCAAAATAAAACACATATTAACAAACAAACACACAACAGATACAAACAAGCGAAGGAAACAAGACATCCAATTGGATTGAGAAAGGAGAAGGATAGTTATTGAAAATCAAATAAAGCTGAAAAGTAAGTAAAGATAGTTGCAATAGTGGCTGCACTATATTCTGTAAAAGGCATATCTGACACTTTTTGCTGTAGAACAATGCTGGCTGACGAGTTCATTTTGCAAGGGGGGGGGGTATGTTTTTTTTTGCTAGGATTCAGTCAGCTAATTACAAGAAAGACCATTTTATAATTTCTAAAAACTGTTTTTAGACAAAATTTCTAGTTCTTTTGTCAACGAACTTCTTTTCATATTACCCTTTCTTTTAAAACAGTTGAGCACATTACTGAAAAAAGAAATAAAATTGCAACGTCTCTTTGTTATTTTTTGTTTTTGTAAAGTGTTTTACGGCGCTCACAACTGCTTAGATCATATGAGCGCGCGGGACACACCTAATATTTTCCGTTGGTAGGAAATTTTGAATTTTGCCCGGGTGGCGGCCGAAGACTACTCTTATCGATTTTAGACCACCAAGGGATCTTTAACGTGCGCAACTTGCACACGGGCCCTCCGAGATTTTTCGCCCTTGTCCGAAAAGGCTAGGTGTAGATCTTTCCTACCAGAAGATCAGGGGTGTGGCAGAAAGACAACAGTAAGAAGGAGCCAGGGAGTAGCAGTAGAAAGGCTGCAGAAAGAGTCAGGAGCCCAGAGGGGGGGGGGGGCAAAGGAGGTGAGGGGGTGGGGGCAGAAAGTGGAATTGAAAGCAGACAACAGAACATTGCTAGAGAGCTGGAAGGGAGGTGAATGGTGACAATTTTAGAGAAGAACATTTTTCGGTCGCTACCCGGATTCGAAACCGGGACCTTTGAATGAGAGGCCAACACCTTAACCTCTAGGCCACGAGAGCCCCCAACGTCTCTTTGAGACACTTGAAAATATTTGCAACTGTTGACGAAAAATAAAAAGGATCGTACCTCAAATATGTCAATGTCTTCTTTCCAGTCTTGAAGTTAACCAGGTTTCCCATACTAGCGTACTGCCTGTAGTGCTTGTGGACATTGTGACGGAGTCGTTTGATGGGGGAGCTGTTTGCACCTGGCTCGTCTTTCGCCTGGTCGACGTCCATCATGAGGCACAGTGTGTCACTACGAGGACTGTAGCAGTGAAGGATTCCCTCCTCCACCTCTTTCACCACAGCTGGAAGTGATGAGAAAGGAATACATAATGGTATAAGTTAAAAACGTCCTTTACCAGCTTGTTTTTTAAGTACTGAGGTGTTTTTCATAAAAGATCTTTTCACCACAAAGTTTTGTTGTTGTTTGTTTTGTTAGGGTAATTTTTTAAATTGTTTGACAGAGACATAAGCATGGTGGTAACATTTCAGTTTGTTGTTTATCGAGTGGTTGTATGCTGAACAAAGCAATTTTAAAACGTTTGTGCATATGAAATTTCTACTTTTTGAATATCCAGAGGTGTACATCTTTTTTAAAAAAATCTTGTTTGCGTCGAAAAGATTGTTTCTCTTATCTCAGTAGAGATTTCTATGAATATTTTGAAAGTGTTCGTTTTAGTTATAGTTATTATTGAAAAGATGATGCCCTTTCTGGCGAACAGCTGCCATCTATGACACTTTAACCTTAGAAAAGTAATGTTACACCAACTCTTTTGTTCCTTATAGTTTATTTTATTTTGTTAGCTTAATCATTTATGTTACAGACATACAGATTTCCTTTAAATGTGTACTGCATTTAATCACTCTTACAACAATGTGGAGAATCAACGAAGCAAAACTCACAGATGTTCGAGTCCGATATAGCGTTCATAACTGTCCGAATATATTCGTTCAGAGACATGACCTCCATTGAGAATTCAATTCTAAATAGCCAGTACCTTAATTATCACTTACGGGCTCACTATTTCAAATCTTCAAATACTATTGGTGTGTTGAAACTACAGGTATATTCATACCATACCATACCATACCATACCATACCATACCATAATCGTACATTCCACACCAAGCCATACGATACTACAAAATATCGTGGCATATTATCACATCAGAGCTTACCATATTACACGTTTCTACAAGCAAAGGGGGAAGATATATTAATCAGCACGACAAATATTTCTTCAGGGAATTCCGGAAATCTTACAAGACCATCTGTAGAAGTCGGCCGTGACATTCTTCCTCCCAGGGTTCTCTTCTCTCATCTTGTCTATGGCTCTGGACAGCGCCTCCAATAGAACCTCCTCCACAGCCTCTGGGGTCTGGTACTCTTCTTCCACTTTGATCTCCTGAATAGTAAAATGACGAAAAGAAACAGCATGGAATTTCTAACGCCCAAATACGTGTTTGCTCTCAGTGTAACTGAATCCTTCGTGTCCCCTAAACATAAGATACATACTGTTTAGTTAAATTAGAAAGTGTGTGTGCATTAATGTGTGGCACATGCGTGTACAATTGTGTGTGTTTGTGTGCGTGTGGGTGTGCGTGTGCGTGTGTGTGTGTGTGCATGTG